CTGTAAGTTGGAGTGTCGCCCTGCTAAAAGTATAACAGGCTGTTTCGTGAAGGGGAGGGGGAATAAAGGTCTGGTAGGCACGACCGTCAGCATCCCGTCAATTTTCAATTTCAATTTCTTGTCAATTTTGACACTGACATTTGACGAAAACCAACGGCTTCTTACCATTGCCTGTGACTCTCTTCCTGAACCATCACTTTGCTGTTCTAATCTTATGTTCGATTTTTCGCTCGAGATGGCACCACAACGGGATCGTTTTGTTCGTTGTTGATAACTTCATCGAAAAATTTTTTCGTGAGAGAAAACAAGGGAGGTCACGTGTCTCCGCTCCTTCGGGTCAGCAACCATTTGCATTTTACGACCCCATCTGTGGTGAATCGACGGCATTTTTACATGCAGTAGGACTGGCACTGAAGCTTCTCATGACAATCCTCTCCAAAGAATTCGATGTGTCCAGTTACGTTGCCGTATTAGTGATGATTCGCTGAGGATTACGATGTACTCGCTAATCGACTACTTTCACGGCCCTAACCATCAATACACTGCCCTTTCTACTCATTCCGGATTTGTATCTAAGTGATCCAGCTTCTCTGCCGCGTTTTTATGGCCTTCCCACAATTTCCTTCGATACCGCTCTCTCCTCTACCATGCAAATAGTCGCAAGTCGTCTTGAATGAGCCTTCGCCATCATCAAGATATCAGGGGTGTCACACCATCAACTATGCAGATTGCGTGAAAACCTACTTCTTCAACAATTCAGTTACTAGATAAGTGTAATTAATAGATCATTTTTGTCTGAGAATTGTTCGAATTTAGGTGCCCATAAATTTGTGATACCTTGCGGATTGTGAGCAATACTTTGGCTCACTGCATTGTTCAGAAAGCTTGCTCTGCGATCGGTGGGTCTCCCTACACAAATAATGATAGGAAGTATTTAATTTGTATCATCTGACACCTATGACATATTGTGAGGAGCGAACTTGTAGGTTCTTAGCAGGCTCCAAATTGAAGGTAAACCTAAGATTTATAGTATAGTTGTAGTTAGATTTTAGTAGCTTTGTGGATCTTCCTATGCACAACCACGTAAGATTGATCCGCATGCGAAAAGAAGCCCTTTCCTCTGGCACTTCAATTTATGATGAGCTCCGTTAGTAAGTTTGGTTGTGTCGCGAACTAGTAATTGTTGGCATAACCACAAAATCTCCACCATTATCACTCAAGGATGTGCATGTGAGACCCGTTTGTTTACCGTAACTCTTTGAAACCTTGCAGTTGTTCATAATTTAAATTTGTATTTCTTTGCCGACTGTAGTGAGCCAAAACAGGGAGAACTTGAATTGACACTTTCTAAACCTAGCACCGACTTCTTGAGATGGGTGAGACACTCTATGTAGAACGTATATAGAAATATTTCCAAAAAAGAAGAATGTCTTTGGTATGACATGCAGTTTCCGCTATCACTCGGAACTGGCTATGCAAACATTTGTACGGTTGAGATTATCTCGCCCCCCGTGGCGAGGTGGTCTGAACCAGGTGTGAAAACTTCATAGTCTCTATGCAGCCCTCATGTCGTAGTTAGGCGAGTAAAAGTCAATATCACCATTACAAAAGTGGAACATTTAGAGAAGAGTAGGGTTTTATACAGGAAAATTTTGCCTCACTGAATAAAGCTTTATCTACGTGGAAATGAATTACTCGCATCACCATCGTCCTACTGATCATGAATTTTCTCGAGTTGGTGCTAGAAACGTCTTCATTCGTTCCTGCCGTGACTTAGATAATCCAATGAATTGTCCTTGCCGAAGATACACGAGGCATAGCATTCCCGTCATTCAGAGCTTTCATCAGGAAATATGATCATCGTGCTGGCGGCCGTCGTCTTGTTTGTCTGACTTTCCGAGAGATCCAATCAGCAACCACGTTGGTTCAAGGGTCATCACGATAACGCATAACGAGTAGGGACCAACCTGGTTTTCGATTCCTCGGCGTAGGCAACGGCGTCTCTGATCTTTGTTCGTTGGTTTGTTGGCGGAGCTCGGGATTCCGGATTGCGCTTCTCTACTTGCATGAATCGGGAAATTTCGGGTATCATACTTTCCATAGTGAAATGGATATCGTTGACTGTGCGCTCAACGTCTTTCATAAGATTCAAGTTAATCACCCGGGCGTATGTCAAAGTAGAATGAACCGCGGCGTCGTAAAGATGGGCCCTTTATTCTTTGTTTTCTTCACTACTTCCTCGATGTTCTTAAATGTCTCTCCCGCAGCGCTTTTCCTTCTTCTCAGCTTCGAAGCTAGGTCGTTCATCACGTTGACTTCTTTACCTAGATGCACACAGCTGGAGACATACGATATTCAGTGACAGAAACTCATTGATATTCTTTCCCTTTGGTCTGAAGGGTGCATCAGGTAGTGACCTGATTCTCATGAACATCGTCTTCGTTGAGTCCAGTTTGAAGCCCATCATTCCGCAAGCGATGTCGAGTTCGTCCACCATTCGTTCCACCTGCTCAGTGTTCGGTGTCGTATTCCCGATGTTATCTGCAAAGCAAAGATGATGTGAGCAGCGGCCAATCTTCACGTTCCAAATGACGCGTGATGTTCTCGAGAGAGAGAGAGAGACACCGAAAAGTATGAGCAAGATTATGTCTCCCCGCTCAGCCATCTATTCATGTTGATAACACTTCGATTTATTATAGCGAAATCCTGCTAGTAAAGTTGTGGTAGAGCTCACGAAGCATCCCTAATATATATAGAGTATGAACACCGCGGTCGCCCAGGGCTTCCATGGCCGCTTCTGTCTCGAAGCTGTCAAGGGCCTTTTTCGAATCGATGAGCGTCAGATATGACGGTATCCTGCGCTCCTACCCTACATCGGTGAGTCTTGTGACAGTGTGGTTGGGATCGATTGTATTAAATACTGTTCAAACCCCGCTTGCTCGCATGGCTGGTTTTCATCTAGTATTTTGCAAATCCTGTTGAGGATAAATCATTCATTCGTGGAAAAGGTTATTGATTACGAGCAGCGGGCAAATTGGGCGGTAGTTGCTGAAACAGTCTACATTTCTTATTTACAACGACGTGGGCACCTTGCGTTTCGATGTATGCCGCCTGAGAAGCTTAGCCAGGGTTTCAACTATAAACGATGAAAGGCTTTTCAGGTGTTCTATTCTGTCAAACAATTCTTGTTAAAATTGGAGGAACATCATATCCATTCTTTCAAAGATGCTGGGTAGGTAGGCATGGCTGTCGGAGAGATTCAAGTAGAAGTCGTAGATGACCCAAATGCAGTGATTGTACCATCAGGACGACCGAGGGAAGCATCATTGGTCTTGTAATTGTTGAGGCTCCGGCCAGTTTTACGAATGCTCTTCCCTATCTGGGCGGCTTCGGCTGCTCTTCTGTCTTTCACACCTTCCTTCATCGCTTCTCTGCATGACTTCGTAGTTCAGACATTAACTGGTGGTTGCCTGTAGTTCGCGCGATTCCATGCCCATCAGCTCGGTAGTTCTCGAAGAGATACTCCTCTTGGCAGTTTTTGGACTCTGCTTCAATAGCGCCAATGTTACGATGTTCAACGCACCTGATGTATTTCTCATCGATGATAGCTATACCGGGCTCTTTCTTTAAACTAGGAAAGCGATGTTTTTCCTTATGATGGAGGTCCTGGGTTTCTAACCCTGAACTTCGCAGCTATTCCCTCGCACTGAAGAGCACTATATAGTGTGGAGGAGGCGGTGGTCCGATCCTGCGTTGCACTTCGGAACAACAACAACATCAGTCAGGCAAAAGTTCCGGTTAAAGATGATATAATCTATCTCATCATGCAACTGCCTAGTGGTTAGGCGTAGACGGAAACCGTGAACAACAACGAAGGCGTGTTAACGAGGATACGAACGCCTACGAAGACTCTGCCGTTGCTTTTCAAATTAACGGCTCTCCAGTCTCGAAAACAGCGTGCAACCGACGATATCCTCTCTTCTCGAATGTCACCTCGTCTCGTTCTCGTCGTACTTGACTTACTTGCATCATCAGATTCCCATACAAGCTTCCGATGCAGGCGTTCGTGCGTTGAAAGTGCTGATCGTCATCTAAGATTTTTCCCTTTTAGTAGCTTGTTTTGGTCCTGATATTTTAGGAGCCTCTTCCGAGCGGCTCTGACCATCGCTAGCTTATTGGGGCAATCTTAGGTTCAGGGAAATGAAGCCATTTACAATACTGCTTTCGACATATGAGTTTCCAAAAGTACCCTAGATTGCTAGGCTATGAAACGCGGGCTGGGTGGAGGGTGGACTCGGAATAGCTAGCGAAAGTATTTTAAATTGGACAAGGGGCTCGTCAATTGGAGGCTGCTGGCATCGCCTTACGGTTCCCTTCCAGTCACTCAAATGCGAGATTTCGACTGATACGATGTGCAGGATGCCAACCACAGATTCTCTACACACATACATAATTCCACTTGCAAGCAGGAATAGGTATTAGGGTGTTCGGAAGAATTGAGAAACTTCAATCTTTTTTCAGTTCGAAATAACTACAGCAACAATCTCAGAGCAGTGATCAAGATAGTGGCCCTTCTTAGTCACAGTGTCTCCCCATTAACCGGACTAGACATTGATGCCAGTTCATTCATCCAACACTTGCTTGACTTCTCGACAATTGAGATTTTTCCACTGTCTATTAGCTTCTGGTAGCATAGCATTCATATGGGCTAAAGTCATATGAATATGTGGGGATCGTGGTAGCCAGATTATGCCAGGTCTTTCCAGATCATCCATCGACTTCCTCGCGTGGGGTGGTCGAGCATTGTCTATCACGATCGAAGATCGCATTTGGCCGCGCCTCATCGCGTGAGAAACAAGCACGGCGAATTAAGTCACAGATCGAACGATGAATCACAAGCCTGCAATTGAACGGGTAGCCATTTTCCATATGAAATTTAAGCTGTGTTCAACGAAGTCATCATCATGCACAAACACGAGCGTACGATAATAATAAGGCAATCATACTGTAGTTAGCCGCCACTCGAAAAGTCTGACCTTAAGCTGCAGAAGTTCGGCAACATCATCACGGCTTCGCACCAAAGTCACAGCATCACGCATCTCGTAACCGTGGGTGCCGAGAGCTTCCTTCAAGTCTTTTTTTCAGAGGTGCTTTAATTTGTATTGAGTGGTTCTATACGAGCCATACCATTGTTAGTCAAAAGCTCACAGAAGTGTTGAATTAGCGAAACACACCACTTTTGATTCTTACCTGAACAACACTGTGCAGCATTCGGTTACTTTCCTTAGCTTCTTTACCCCCTTTCAGTATAAGGAAGTTACCATATGCCATTGCAAGGGATGCACCCGGAAATACTCTTAGTAGGTTAAGAGAATGAGATTAGTTCCGGAGGAACAGGCAGAAACAAGCAGCAGTATGAGATAAAGCTCGATGAAAAGCGATTCCGTTTTATGAAGAGCTTCAAATACGCCTGTTACTTGTTCACAGCTGAATGACCCCTTTTAAAACATAATATGCTTTTTGAAGTATTGGCTCCATTGATTGAAAAACAGAACCTCCCTAAATAGTCGTAAAGCTCACCTGAGGCAAGCAATCGGGACGTGATTCGAAAATCACCATCAGTGAACCAATAGGCACCGTGACTTGTTCCAGGTACAAGTTTGACTTTGACTTTGACTTTTGTCTAAAAATGCATTGACCGAACATTTTTCAGAACTATATCAGTCACTTATTATTATATTTCGTAACGGTTGGATCGCACAGCGGCTCCCCTTCTTTACACTGCAGGGTGACGCGCCGCCTACATCCTTCTAAGTTTGGACACTACCACAAAAGTAAAAGGATTACAGGGTGTACGAAAAGTTGTGGGAAAATTCAGCTGGTTTTTACAACCAAAATAACTACAGCAAGAAACTTAGACCAGTGATCAAGATAGTAACTTTTCCTAGCCACGTCTCTCCATCAACCGGACAGGACCTACTACCTATACCTACTTGACTTCTCGGCAGTTGGCGAATTACCTCTCTAGAGCAGACCTATAGGCCTCTGAAAGTATGGATATACCAAGTCTTTCCAGCTCATTCACGACGTCCTCGCGCGGGATGATCGAGCATTATCCATCACAATCGAAAGTTCCATTGTAATCGGTGTGAAATAGGGTCCAAACACTATCTCAGTCGGTAACAGAATAACTTGTTTTGACTCGATGTTTTGTTAAGTGCTGTCAAATCGCCATCTTTGTGAGACTTTCGCATCGCGTACTGTTGCGATATAACAGCAGTTAACAAGACATCAAGTCAAAACAAGTTATAACTAGTAAAGCTTACAGCTTAACGGTTCTGTGCTGATATTGGCCGACCGGCTCAACACGTTGTTCCTGTGAGTGCTGATAAGCTACGGCATATAAGCCATTAAGAAGGCGAGGGCAAGCGGGGTCTCGGCAGTGTATGTAATAAGAGCACGGTGCCCGGAAAGGACAGATACGGGTTCGAGTCCCGTCCGAGACTGAAGCTTTTTCCATAAATCGTCATCCTTGCGGTAACAGAATACTTTTGCGTTTACCGCAGTGCACTTTTAGGATCTCGTACTAAAACACCCGACGAACCACAGGAAGAATGAGCTCATGTCTTTCTTGGCGTTAGCGCCTTTCGTTGAAGCGAGCTGTAGCCTTACATCCTCTATTATGCATTGCGATTTCCTGTGTGGATTTTCATATGACATCTACTTTTTATCCTGAGCAGCGATGAAGTCGTTGATGTCGTCGTTCGCTCACAGTCGAGGAGCTTCTGACACACACACACACACACACACACACACACACACACACA